GCCCACTGAGGCTAAGGAGAATAAGTCTAATCCATCTGTCACATGATAATACTTCAACTATTTAAAGAGGGTAAATCACATCCCCTTAAATTTTTCCTTATCCAGATTAAACATTCCCGGGCCCTTCGATCTAGTCATGTCTTTGAATACTCCTTCCCATTATGGTTGCTCTCTTGTTAATGTCCCTCTTAAAATTCCCCTGCCACACCAGAACTAGACAGATGGGTATTGCCCAGGTCATAGGACAGCATATTGTCAATTCCTGAACACTTCACTCTTTATTAAGAGCTCCTATACTTTATTTCATGGCAAACAGCCTCCTTAATGGTGACCTGACAGTTCTAGACTGCAACAGCTGCTGCTCTGGCAGCCAGGTACACTTGAAAAGAGAGGATAGCACTTGGATCTGACAGTATTTAGTCAAATGACATTAGGTTTGGACATAGAAACAAGAAAAGTATGGCAGGTGTCTGGACACAGAGATGTATCCAAGCTATCTCTTGTCTTGCCTCCCTCAATACCATCTTCCCCCACCCTCTTAGCTGTTGAAGACCTGCCCTCCTTGTCATCATCTCCCACTGTTGTCTTCTTTAGTCTCTGATGATGACAACTCTGCTTAACTGGAAGCCCATTCCCTCCTGTCCTCTCTAGAATATCCCCACAATAAGCTCCTGCTCTTTTAAAATCTTCAGTCTCTCTCTATTTATTGGCTCTTCCCATCCTTTAAAACAGAAAACCTTCAGTAGGCCCTACCATCCTGTGAAGCTATCATCTTATATTTTTCCTCCCTTTCTTCAACTCCACGAAAAAGCTGTCTATACTTGCTGCTTCCACTTTTCTCCCCTCACTCTCTTCTAAACCCTCTGCAATCTGGCTTTTCTGCCTCATCATTTAACTGAAAGTGCTCTTTTTCTAAGTTGCCAAATCTAGCGTCCTTTTCTCATTTCTCCTCCCTGAAGCATTAGACACTGTTGAACACTCTCTCCTCTTTGGGTTTTGACGACATCGCTCTTGGTTCTCCTTCTATCTGTATGACTGTGTGCTCTCTCCCTCCCCCCTTCTTCTCCTCTCCATCTCTCTGTCTCTCTCCCCCCCTCCTTTCTAGTTGATCATCCATATCACATCCCCTAACTATGGGCACACTTAAGGTGCTACCTTAGGCTCTCTCTTTTTTCCTTTCTACATTCTTTGATGACCTTACCATCTCCCAGAGGTTAAATGATCATCTCTATGTAGATGATTCTCAGATCTTTATATCAGAGCCTAGTCTTGATATCCACAACACTACTGCCTGCTTGTTGGACATTCTGAACTACATGTTCCACAGATGCCTCAAAATCAACATGTCCATAACAGAACTCATCTTTTCCCCCCAAACTCACTCCTCGTTGGAACATCCTTATTTCTGTTATTTCCACTTAAGGATGTACCACCAACCCTCCAGCCAAAGAGGCTGAAACCCTCAGTTTCATCCTCAATTCTTCACTCTCCTTCACCCCATATATCCAGCCAGTTCTCAAATTGTGACAATTCTGCTTCTCCAACATTTCTCTTATAGGTCCTTTTCTCTCCACTCATACAACTATCACTCTAGCTCTGGTCTCTATCACCTCTTCCCTTCAGTATTTCAATAGCCTCCTAACTGATCTCTGCCTCAAATCTCTCCCTACTCCAATCTATCCTCCACACAGCTGTCAAAGTAATTTTTCAAAAGCACAGGTCTGACTACATCATAACCTGAACAATAAACTCCAATGACAGTCTATTACCATTAGGATCAAATATAAACTTCTCAAGCATTTAAAACTCCTTACAACCTGGCCCTAACCTATCTTACTGGCCTCATCCTTCATGCACTCTATGTAGCCAAACTGGCCTTGTTGTTCTTCACACACACACACACACACACACACACACACACCCCACTCCCATCTCCTATCTCTGTGTCTTTTCATTGGCTTCCCCCCATCCCTGGTCTCCTTCAAGACTCAGCTTAAATGACATCTTCTGACACTGGCACTCCCCACAGCTAAAGCCCTTCTCCCCAAGGTTATCTTATATCTGATTTGTAAGCGTTTTGTAGGTACTCAGTCGTGTACATAATGCTTCCTCCTTTGGAATGTAAGCTTCCAGAGGGTAGGAACTATTTCACTTTTGTCTCTGTATGCCTAGCATAAAGAGCAGACAGCTCATGGTAGTGAAGGGGGTAGACAATCTGACTTGCAGTCAACAAGTCCTAAGGGCAAATCATTTAACTTCTGTCTTCCTCATTTTCTTATCTGTAAATAGCACCTGCTTCGCCCAGTGGTTGCGAAGATCAAAAGAGTTAGTATATGTAAAAGTTCTTTGCAACCTTAATGCACTATGAAAAGATGATGATGATGATGATGATGATGATGATTAGCCAGCACTATGACTGCCACTGTCAATAAATATTTGTTGACTGATAAAGGAAAGGGAAAAGCGTAAGAACAGCATAAGAGAAGCTTCAAAAACAATTATTGTTGCAGCTGCTTTTTAATAATTCAAAGGTTATATACTTGAGGAAAGTAGAGAGAGAAATACGTTTGACACCAGTTAGAGATACTGAAGTGAGAAATAAGGAAGAAAATTCTTGGCTTCAGTGGTGTAGCAGGTTTCTCAGAAAATCGCTTCCCCTTTCTGGGCTTCAGTTTCCCCAGCTATATGCTAAGAGTTGTGTCAGACTAAATGATCTCAGAGGGGCTTCCCAACTCTGACACTCTATGATCTGGGTCCTTCCCAGCACCAGCATCTTATGGTCTAAGGTCCTTTCCAGTTCTGATAATTCTATTACTTAAAACACCTTACATCTAACCTGTAGGTCACCTTTCACTGGAACAGAAAAGGGCACATTCTATACTAGGTTTTCTATGCACAATTCTTAGAGAAATTATGGTCCAAGAACAAGATATACAATGTGAGCTTCTCTGTTCAATGCACTCTGCTCTACCCCTGCTGGTTCTGACAAGACAAAAGAGGTAGAACATTCAGTTGAAACTCCTCGCATGCTTGTTCTCCCTTCTGTACTCAAACATCTTCTCTGCCAGCTGACACAGACATCTGATCACTAACAAAGGCAGAGGGTTGTGCTGCAAAAGCTGCTATTCTTTAGCAGGGAATTAGGGCAGGAATATGCTAAGAGTTACAGGGAGTTGAATTAGTCACTCCATGACAAGCATCCAGTATCTCTGTGTGAATCACACAGGAGAGCCCTCAACTCTCTGCATGCATTCTGTCTGTAGCATCTGCAACTGACTGCTTCAGTTAAGTAGGCAAGAGTGACTCTCTGACAGTGCTCTTTGGTAGCAGCCTGAGTTCCCAATCTGGGGCTCAGCAGGATGTCATTAAAAACAGAAAATGAGAGGGGCAGTGGGATGGTAAAAGAGGGGGGGCAGAAGAGGAGTGGGGATTTTAGACAATTTACAGAAATTATAAGTTTCTCTAAAAACTTGAGAGTTTTTTCTGATTTGGGGAATGTCAGTCAATACTGAACCACTGCTATGTATCCCTCAGTATTGAGTCAGAAAAACATACTCCTACTGCATTTACAAATGGCAAACCAAAGTTGAATGTTGGGGTACTTAGAACCATAGAATGGTAGAGCTGAATGGGAACATGGAATGTAGAATGCTCAATGGTAAAAGATTCCAGAGACAGAAAGTCTGCCAGATAAAAGCTGCTACAAATACATCTGATTCAGGGAGAAATTTAAAATACCAGTATCTTCACCTTTGTGAAAAAGCTATATCCTACTCTGGATATTAAGTCAGCTTCAAAGAAGACTTTTGTAAAGCAAATCCTATTAATTCTATTGACTTTGATTACTTAAAACAAAACAGTTATGTTCCTTGGGGAAGGAGAGAGCCCTCCAAATCAACTCAGCTGAAAATTTTTGGCAAGAAAGGGATTAAAGTAATGGCCAAGCCCAGGATACATTATCAAAAAGGCAGGGCTTTCCCATTGCTTTCACAGCTCAGTAACACTTTCAGAACTTTGGGATCTCCCTTCAACCTCATGCCTTCTCTCTACTGCTTTCTCACATCAAATGCCAGTCAACCAGAATTTCACCTGGGGATCCCCTAATTCTCCACTCAAACTCTAAGAACTTAACTCTTCTCTCTGTCACTTTTCAGGGGTGGGCAACCTGTGGCCTTGAGGTCACATGTGGCCCTTAGGTCCTCAAGTGCTGTCCTTTGACTGAATCCAAACTTCACAGAACAAAGTGGCCTAGAAACTGCAGATTCCCCATTCCTAATCTAGGCATTTATAATTCTAATAGAGTCAACTTGTATTACCATATAATGTCACAAGGGATGCCATCTAAAATGTGCTTACTGTTATTCAGCCTAAAAAATCTTTAAGTCTGAGGCTTTAAGTTCCATAAAACAAATCTGTGATGCACTTTATTAATTCTGTAAGCCCCCAAATCCTGCAAAACAGGTGTCCTTACCAGTGCAAATTTGATCCTGGTCAACACAGTAGCAATTTAAGCTGTAAAATGTGAAAAATACTTCGGATCAGAGCTGAATTGACTATTCCTTTATACAGTTCACAGAGAATGTTTTGTGGAGATGAAAGGGATTATACTAGTAAAAAATGGAGTAAATATTTGTTTTGGTTTTTTGGGGTTTTTTTTTTGCTTTTAGGCAATTGGGGTTAAGTGACTTGCCCAGGGTCACACAGCTGGTAAGTCTTAGGTCTGAGGCCACATTTGAACTCAGGTCCTCCTGACTTCAGGGCCAGTGCTCTATCCACTGTGCCACCTAGCTGCCCCTAATGAAGTGAATATTTGTCCTAAGGCTGCCTGAAAGGAAACCAAAATCTTCTAGTGTGTGTTGAAACTTAGAAACTACAAAGGGAACCAAGTCATTTCTATGCTTTTGCTTCAGTTTCTGTATCTATATAATGAAAAAGTTGAACCAAATCCCCTATATAAGGTTCCTTCCAGCCCCAACATTCTATGTTCTATATTCTTTTTTTTTTTTTTGCTCTATATTCTTAAGAGCCTTTTCAACCCAAGTATTCTATGTTCTAGGATCTTGGCAGGTTCTACTATTCTCTCTTCTATGGTCTCTTCCAGTTCTGATAGTTTATGTCAGGATTTCCCAACCTGGAGTATGTATATTCTCACAGGGTATAAAAAGCTTGTCAAGGAGGTGTGAAGAATATTGGTTGAATAACAGAAGGGAAGGGAAGGAAAGAGGAGGGGGAGAAAGAGGAAGGGAGGTAACTGAAGATGAATGCAAAAAAAAATGAACGGCGCAGTCTTGTAGGAATAGTGTTGGGAGTACTCAAGTTTAGAATGAACAGTTCAAACTACAGAATGAGCTGAGGCCTAAAATGACCACAACACATGACAAAAAGGGTTTGTTGTTGCTGTGGCTGCTCCTGTTGTTGGTTTGTGCGTTGTTGTTCTTTAATTTTTTGCTAAATTGAGACAAGAGGAAAATCAAAGAAAAGGTAGAGCTATGGTTCTGGATTGGGGAGGGGAGTGATGATCACAGATGACAGAGGGAAGGCAGAACGATTCATCCTTTCCTTTGCCTCTGTTTTCTCTACCAAGGGAAACAAGCTTCATATCCAACCTTCCTGCCTTTACTGTAAATTCACTTGAGTCAGTAATTGTCATTTTTCATCTGGGTATCACCAACGCCAAACACAAAGCTTGCAATGTCCATCTGTTTTGGTCCAGACCTATGACTTCAATGGTAGGGGGAACTCCTGGTGTGGAAACTACCCGTACCCAGGTTCAGCATGGCAACTCATCTATAACTTCAGTCTTAGGAAGCTGCCTGGGCCACTGAGAGGTGAAGTCATTTGCCCATAGTTACAACGCTGAGAAGTTTCAAAATCAGAACATCAAACCAGATCTTCCTGATTTCAAGGCTGGATCTTTAACAAATGCTTGGTAAATTAAATTGAATTAAAATCTTCAGGATGAAAAGAATGGAAGAAAATAGTTAAGGATGAGATGAAACCCAAGATAAGTAAGGAGATCCGAAAAGAGCAACTAAGGCACCAGAAGGATTCAAATAACCTCACCAAAACAAACTACATTTTGGATTACTGAGGGAAGTGACATTTGTAATTCCTGAGCAACTGTCATTGATTTCTAAAAAACCGTGAAGAATAGAAAAGGTTCTATATGGTACTGGAGATAGACAAATATTTCTATTTTCAAAAATAGAAAAGAGAGATTCTTCAAACAATAGGCCAGTAAGCCTGACTTCAATTCCTAGCAAAATTTTAAAGTGCCCTATTAAAGGGATGGTTTGTGGCCATTTAGAAAGGGAAAGAGCAATTACAAACAAGCTATCTCCACCAAGAAGTCACACCAGATTAAACTGATTTCTTTTCTTTTCTTGTAGTTGTTGTTGCTGTTGTTGTCTGGATGATGTTACTAGATCCAGATGTAGTATACCTGAATTTTTAGCAAGGCATGTGAGGAATCTTATATGCTGTTCTAGGGAACAAGACCAAGAGATGAAGACTACATGGTACCACAGTTGCACACATTCAGAGACGATTTATCGGAACTGATCCTTATCAACCTGGAAAGAGGTCAATAGTGGCTCTATCCTTGGCTATGTTTTGTTCAACATTTTTATTGATAACTTGGATCAAGACATAGATGGAAAATTTATCAAACTTACCCACAGATGGGCCAAAGCGCTTTAAGTTTCGCAAAGCACATTCTCTGCAAAAGCCCTGTGAGGTAAGTATTGAAAGCATTATCCTCATTTTATAGATGAGAAAAGTAGGGTAAGTGACTTGCACACAGTCACAGACTAATGAATGCCAGTGTCAGGCACTGGCCTGAGAGATCCTCGTCTTTCAGCAAGTTCAACAGTCTTTCCACAACACACCATGACACTTCCACTAAGATTGGGACAGGCTAGAACTCTGAAATTCAATTGTGAAAATGCAGTCTTACACACTTAGATTTTTTTCTTTTCTTTTTTTTAAATCAACTACACAAATATAAGTATAAAAATTTTATGGCAGCTCTTTTTGTGGAGGCAAAGAGTTAGAAAATAAGGGAGATCCTCATCAAATGAAGAACAGCGTAATGTGTTAAGTATGGTATACTAATGCCAATAGAATACTAGTGTGCTATGAAAAATAATAAAAAGGATGGGTTCAGAGAAACCTGGGGGAACCTGTACAAAATGACGCAGAGTTGAGAGAAGAATCAGGAATGCAATTTATATAATAATAACAATAATGTAAAAAATATGAAAGACTTAAGAACTCTGATCAACACAATGACTATCACTGACCAGGCTCTACTCTGATTCCAGAGTACTAACGAAGAATGTTACCCACCTCCTGACAGAGAGACGATGGACTCAATACGCACAAGGAAACATATGTTTTTGGACATGGCCAATGTAGGAATATTTTGCTTGACTCTGCATATTTGTTGCAAGGGTTTTTGGTTGTTCTTTTTTTCCGGGATGAGGGAGTATGAGAGAGAAGACAAATGCCGTTAATTGGAAAAAATTTTAATGAAGTCCCAAAAAACACTTCAATATATATAGGCAATAGTTCATGCAAAAAGGAGCACAGGATTTCAGTAGACTGCAAGCTCAATGAGTCAATACCACTATGACACAACTGCACACAACAAACTGAACACGGTCACAGGCTGCATCAACAGAAGCGTAAGAGTGGGAAGGAAATGGTTGGTGTCTTTCTTGTTTGATACTTGTTTGTGTTTGTTTTTTTTTAATGAGGCAATTGGGGTTAAATGACTTGCCCAGAGTCACACAGCTAGTAAGTGTCATGTGTCTTAGGCCGGCTTTGAACTCAGGTCCTCCTGACTCCAGGGCCAGTGGTCTAGAAGAAAGGTTTTAAATGAGAGAATCAATTACTGCACCCACTTAGCCCCATATTTTAAGTAAGAACATATCTCAATTGAATCAATCAGGGGTGTGAACTGTCTATGAATATGGCTTGGACAGCTACTGAATCAAAGGCATTCCAACTAGGTGCAACAAAAAATCTGTTCAGATTGGTTGAATGAGTTGTTCGTGCTTTGTGGGGCTCATATAAAAAAATCATCAAGTTAGTCTGGAATTGGGGATATAAGCAAATGACAAATGAAGGCTGAAGCCTTCTAGCCAAACTCCTTTGAAGGATTTCTTTGGAGGGAGGATAAGAGCCCTGGCCCCAGCCTCAGTCTCTCTCCATACCATTTATTTACGTAAGGTTCTGAGGTTTGCAAAGTTTACATGTATTATCTCATTTGATTCTCACAACCCTGTCCAGTAGGTACTTTTACTATAACCATTTTATAGATGAGGGTACTGAGACTGAGAAATTAAATGATTGATCTAGGGTCACACAGTTAGTAAGCATCTGCAGTATTCAAACTCAGATCTTCTTAATTCTAAGACTGCCACTCTATCCACCATGACACCTAACTGCCTTCATGAGGAAGGACTTCCTAACAATGAGCACTATTCCAAAACGGAATGAGGTAGGTACCTTGAAAGGTAAGGAGTTCCTTATTCATCGATAATCTGCAAATCCCAGGATATGGAGATATAAGGGATCTAGCCTAACTTCCTTGTTTTACAAATGAGAGAGTTAAAGACTAATGACTAAATAACTTGTCCAAGCTCATACAGGTAGTAACACAACTCAAATCTGAACACAGATACTCTGATCCAGTGTATTCAGTGTATCTGCCTCTTTCTGTGCTTCAATTCCTTGAATACTTACACTGCCTATATCACTGAGCTGATGTGAAGAAAGGACTTTTCTAAGCCTAAAGTGTTCTAGAAATAAGATTTAGTATTACTATCATTATTATTACTGAAAGAAATGAGGATGATTAGTGCAGAGAACTTTTAAGGGGCATATGATTAGTGTGGTTAATTAGTTGAAGGGACGTCACGTGGAAGAGAGATTAGAATTATTTTGCTTGGCCCCAGAAGGCAAAATTTGGAGCAGTGGGGATAAGCTAAGGCCGGAGTGGGAGTGGGAGGAGAATTTCAGGACAACATAAGGAAGAACTTCCTAACAATGAAAGCTATTCCATAGTGGAATGAGCTATCACAAGAGGCTGTGCTTTTTCCATCACCGGGGGGCTTGAAATGGAGACCAGATGACCAACTGTCAGGGATTCTATAGAAGGCATTCCTTTTGGTGTTTGTTTCCTCTCCAAGAATTCTATTTCTATTATTCTATTTGTATTCTACAGGAAACGCTATGCAGAGTACCCGAGACAGAGCCATCAGGAAAAGGCGATATAAGTAGATGTTCTGAAGAGAAAAAGCATAAGGATGCACATACACACATACTTGCATTGACACACACAGAGAAATGAATGGATTTGTGACTCAAAAGATCTCTGGCTCACTTTATTCTGGGGGCTGTTCTTCAGCTGAATCTGGCAAAGAACTACAGACCATTTAAAGAGATAAAAAAAAATACAGCAATAGCCAATGAATCAGCATCAGTCAGCTAAAACTCTGACTCCTAGCAGGAAGTACAAGCCTTCTTTTCCGAAATGTCAGAGTGGGAGGCTGATACACATGAAGCCTCAGTGTTGTGCCCTGGTGATTAAAGAGATATGGCTCCTGAGTTCTGGGCCACGGCCTAAATGAACATGTCTCCTACCCACTGTGCTAGATTTTCTAGCATGACAACTGATTAAAAACTATGATCATATAGTGTGATAGATACCGAGCAACTCTCTCTGGGCTCACTGTCCCAATGCCAGAGCTTCAGAGTATGGTTTATTACTTCTCTCCTCATGGTACTAAGGGAAATCCTGAGGGATTGTTTCCCCTCCTCCTCCCCAGTTCTGTCACTCATAAGCCCTTATCTGGCATGCTCTTCACTGATCATCAATTAGCCTAGTCAGAGTTAATTAGCTTTTAGAACACTATATTTATTGAGATGCTATAGGAAGTACAGTTGCAAAAAGGATGATTTCCCCAAAAGTCTGAGACATTCCCACAGTTATCCACAGAGTCCACAGGGCTCAAGCTTAGAAGGCACGTGTGGTCAAAGGCTCCTGATTACTGGCAGTGCTTTTTTCTCTTTATGGAATCCTCATGAAGTTCATTTTAGGTGGAGCTATTTGGGAGGGTAAATGCTCTTACAGAGTGTCAAAGGTAGCCCTTTTTGCATTCATCACATACGTGTTTCTCAGCTCCCAATGCTAATGCTGCCATATGCTCTGGGGATGCCGTTACTAAGCCAATGGAAAGTCTAAATCTTTTGACCTTTTGAAATTTACAAGGTTGTCCTCTGTTCAAGAGCTAGAGGTGGGAGAAAGAATATGACATACCCTCTGGGCCCCCTCTTCCTCCTTCTCTCTCTGGCTCCCCACACCCATTCTCTTGCTGGTCTAGTGGCTGCCTCCTCAAGATGTTCCCAAACCTTGACTGCTTTCTTATCCAAAACCTTGCTCTAATATTCATAGGCTAAGAAGTATATCCAATTTTTTCAACCAATCCCAATACATTTTCTGTGGGTTGTTATTGCATCCACTGGCTCAAAAGCACTTCACTTTTCCCAAATTAACTAAGGACTTATTAATACCTAATTTATACCTTTGACTGACTGCCTCAACAAAAAGGAGTCTAGGACTCGTTCACACCTTATTTATACCATTGATTGACTGATTTTGTAACTCAAAAAGGCATTCTCATCTAATAGATGAATCAAGAGTGTGGAGTATCTTACTAATTAACTTACTTAGGGAGAGTGGATGTGGGACATCCCTCATATACTAAAAAAAAAAAAAAAGAATCAAGCATGTGGGTTGAAGTCTATAGGTAAGCACCGGGAACTCCCTGATTTCCCAGGAACCCAGCTCTTTTGATGAGTCTCAGGAACTATGATTAATGCAAAAAGCAGGTAAGGATCCAAAAAAAAAACCACCCTACAGGAGTCTCAGATTCTGGAAAGGCCAGAGAAATAGGTCCAACTTAGGGTTTTGCCAGACAATTTATGCCAGCTATTCCCATTTTTGCTATATGCTAGTTCTCCACAGGTCAGATACTGAAATTGGGGAGGGAAGGGAGGAGAGTAAGGTTGGTAACCTGGGAAATGGTAGTTAAAGACAGCAAATGAGCTCAAGGACCAGCTGCAACAGCCTCCCTATTCTGTTGCCAGTACGAGTGGCTGAACAACAGGTGGAGAGATTCTGTTTCTTGGCCACCACATGTATCCCTTCCTATTCACAAGTCCTTGTGTAGGAACTCAACTCTCATAATTCCTCCTCAAGCACTGCCCACAGCTCCCAACAGAAAGCACTCACCCCCATTTCTCTCTGGTGTCCCCCTTCCAGCCTACCAATCAGTTCTCAGTGTCTCCCAGGCTAAAAATAGTACCAAATCGGTCCCTCTTCCTCAGCAACCAGCATTTTCTCAATGCTGCCCCATCTTTTCATACACAATATTCTCAAAGGAAAGGGGCAAGCACATTTAATTCACTCCTTTTCAGAAGTCATCAGATTCTTATTTCTGATGCTGTTTTGAGTTTCTTTAGGTCTTGCCTCTGTGCTTTTTGTCATACCATTTCTTATATGTAGAATCCTCTCTCCCATTTGGACTGTCTACGTGGAAATCTTATACTGCACATTCTTTAAGGCTTGGTTCAATTGCCATCTCCTTTGTGAAACTTTCTTTAATCCCCTAAGCTCATATTTTTATTTTTACACATACTTGCCGTAATTTATATTATAGTTATTTTATTACAGAATCACAGAATATTAGATCTCAAAGGACCCTTGGAACATAGAATATAAGGAATGGAAGGAACCTTAGGACACAGAATAATAAAGTTGGAAGAAACTTTAGAAGAGCGTATCAGAGGTAGAAGGGCTCCGGGACATAGAATGTCAGCGCTAGAAGAGACCTTAGGACAAAGAACACAAAATGTCACTGTAGGAAGAGATCTTAGGACACAGAATATAGAACACTGGAATTAGAAGAAAGCTTATAACCCAGAATGTTAGAATGATCAAAAATTTTTTTTTAACATTTTTAATTAAAGTTTTGAGTTCTAAATTCTAGCCCTCCCTCCCTTCCATCTTCCCCATGAGATGGCAAGCAATCAGATATAGGTTACACATGCACAATTATGTAAAACATTTCCATATTAGTCATTTTGTACAGGAAGACTCAAAAGAAAAAATGAAAGAAAGTGAAAAATAGCATGCTTCACTCTGTATTCAATCAATATCAGTTCTGGAGACAGATAGTATGCTTCATCATTAGTTCTTTGGGATTGTCTTGGATCATTGTATTAGCTAAGTCATTCACAATTCTTCATCCTACAATATTGCTGTTACTGTGTACAATGTTCTCCTGGTTCTGTTCACTTCATGTAAGTCTTTCCAGGTTTTTCATCATGTTTGTCACTTCTTAACACAATAATATTCCACCACAATCACACACCACAGCTTATTTAGATAAACTGATGCCCTCAATTGATGGGCATCTCTTTGCTTTCCAATTCTTAGCCACCACAAAAAGAACTACTATAAATATTTTTGCACAATAGGTCCTTCCCCCCCACCCTTTTTGGATGTCTTTGGGATATAGCCCTAGAAATGCTATTGTTGGATCAGAGGGTATGCATAGTTTTATAGCCCTTTGGGCATAGGTCCAAATTGCTCTCCAGAATGGTTGGATCAGTTCACAACTCCACCAACTAGTGTCCTAGTTTTCCCACATTCCCTCTAACATCCAACATTTTCCTTTTTTGTCATGTTAGACATTCTGATAGGTGTGAAGTGGTTGTTTTAGTTTTCCTTTCTCTGATCAAGTGATTTCACTTTTTTTTTTTAAGTTGGGCAATGGGGTTAAGTGATCAAGTGATTTAGAACATTTTTTTCACATGACTACAGATAGCTTTGATTTCTTTGTCTGAAAACTTACTGTTCATATCCTTTGATCATTTATCAATTGAGGAATCATTTGTATTTTTATCAATTTGCCTCTGTTCTCTTTATATTTGAGAAATGAGGCCTTTATCAGAGATACTCATTACAAATTTTTCCCCATTTTCTGCTTTCCTTATAATTTTGGTTCTATTGGTTTTGTTTGTGTAAAAACTTTTAAATTTTACATAATCGAAATTATCTATTTTACATTTTGTACTGCTCTCTATATTCTTTGGCCCTAAATTCTTCTCATCCATAAACCTGACAGATAAACGATTCCATGCTCCCCTTAATTTGCTTATGGTATCACCCTTATCTTGGTGTATGGTGTGAGATGTTGGTCTAGACCTAGTTTCTGCCATGCTGTTTTCCAGTTTTCCCAGCAGTTTTTGTTCAAGCTTGGATCTTCACATTTATCATATACTAGATTACTATGGTCATTTACTATAATGCAATTTGTGCCCAATCTTTCCCACTGATCCACCACTCTATTTCTTAGTCACTTTTGATAATCATCACGTTTTGATACAGTTTGAGATCTGGTATAGCTACACCAGCTTCTTTTGCATTTTTAAAACTTATTCCCTTGATATCCTTGGCCTTTTGTTCTTCCAGAAGAATTTTGTTATTATCTTTTCTAGCTCTATAATTTTTTGGTAGTTTGATTGGTATGGCACTGAATAAACAAATTAATTTAGGTAAAATTGTCATTTTTATTATTTTGCCTCAGACTACCCACAAGCAGTTAATATTTTTCCAATTGTTTAGATCTGACTTTATTTGTGCAAAAAGCATTTTATAGTTGTGTTCATATAGTTCCTAGGTTTGTCTTGGCAGGTGGACTCCCAAGTTATTTTATATTATCTACAGTTATTTTAAATTGAATTTCTCTTTCTATCTCTTGCCACTGGATTTTGTTGGTGTAGTTTTTTAGTTGATTCTCTAGGATTTTCTAAGTACAACATCATATCATCTGCAAAGACTGATATTTTTGTCTCCTCATTGCTTATTCTAATTCCTTTCATTTCTTTTTCTTCTCTTATTGCTATAGCTAAGAATGTTAGAATTATAAGAGCTTTTAGAACATAGAATGTCAGAGCTGGAAGGGAACCTTAGAATATGAAATATCAAATCTGGAAGAAACCTTAGAAAACAGTAGCTCAGAACTGGAAACACCCAAGAGCACATAATGTTAGAGCTAGAAGACACATCAGAAATCATCCAGGCCAACTCCATGCATTTTTATTTATTTATTATTTGGTGAGGCAACTGGGGTTAAGTGACTTGCCCAGAGTTACACAGCTAGTGTTATGTGTCTGAGGCTGGATTTGAACTCAGGTCCTCCTGACTCCAGGGCTGGTGCTCTATCCACTGAGCTACCTAGCTGCTGCAGACAAGAAAATGGAAGCTGAGAG